CCGTGTTCATCCCACCTTCCTCTTTATCAGAGCACAAAGGGTACATAGTTACCTAATTCTTGACCGTATTCTGTGGTTTAGGCCCTGATATGCTGTTCTGCCAACAATCTAGGTCTTGCCTTGACAAAAGACTAAACATTTCTGCTATAATCAGGGGTAGGATTGAAATAGGGAGCATAGAATGGGGTAAGAGGGTTAACGAATGTGTAAACGGGTGCTAGAGAAAGGGAAAGGGACAAGGGACAAAGGAGGGGGGGGTTGCTGCTTTTAAAATCTACTTCCACTACTTATAAAACTTACAAGTTTTACAAATATTAGAAAAATAAAAAACATTAGGGGTTTAAGGCATCAGGTTTAAAAAATATTTTAAAATTATTTGATAAATATTTATAATTTTCAACTCCCTACTATAAATATGAAAAGTTTTTATTTTTTGGAAAAATGAATCATCAGTCATAGAATATCCTGAGTTGGAAGGGACCCACGAGGATTGTTGAGTCCAGCTCCTGCACAGGACAATCCCAAGAATCACAGCATTTGCCTGAAACCATTGTCCAAATGCTTATTTAACTCTGTCAGGTCCACTGCTTTCCAGCATCTCATTCCCCGGTCTGTAAGTCTAGGGTTGCCTCATCCCAGGTACAGAATCTAGCACTTGTCTTTGTTAAATTTCATGTGGTTTGTGATTGCCCAGCCCTCTAATATGGCAACCACAACGGAAAATTTTCTAGCCCCTTTGGATACTAAACCTTGACATTGTTTTCTCTTTGAAATTTTTTCATAGGTCTAACAAAAATTGCAACACAGATGGGAAAATCTTCAGACATTACTTGTTAGAAAACATTGTGGGGGAGCTAGGAGGATAGAAGAAAACATTTGGAATACTTCCTGTATTAAACATTCTTTGTTAATTCATTTTAACTGGGAGATTTCAAACTGCTTTATAGTACAGTCAAATTGATTGTTATAGACAGATTGGAGTTCTTACATTTAAATTTTGAATAATTACAAAAAGTTTATATTATTTCAGTTTTCTTAGAGAAAATTACTAAAAAAATCAATATTTCTTTTTCAATTTTGGAATAAAAGAAGAAATAGGAAATAATATGCCTTTTCCCTATTAAAAATAGAGGGTTCATTTAATCTTATTTCAGAGGGAAAATAATTCTTTGACTAGAGTAGTTTCTGAAATGACTGCTTTTAAAGTACAAATTTCATTTGTTTTGAAGTGGAACTTTGTGTTTTACTGGATAAAAAGGGGTATCCTTGTGTATCAATTTCTTTGATATTAAACAGATATTGTACCATGTTTGTTAAACTGGATTTTACACAGACAGAATTCACTGATTTCAAACAGCTAATAATAGCTGTTTAGATTGATCAAAAGTTACTTTGAAAACCAAAATAAATTATACTACATTTTAGAGAGATTCTTAAGGCTGTGCTAGAAGAAACAATTATTAAGGCTACGACAAATAGTTAAAAGAAATTATATGTAACTAAATGTGCTAATATGCAGCTTTATGGGGGTTTATTATAACTGTATTATCAACCTTATATTTCAATCACTTTAATTCCCTCAGCATAAATGAAATATTGAAAACATTCATTACATTATCAACTGACCAGCAGGGAAGTTACAATGGAGTGATTGTATAATTGCTTTAATTGATCCTTTTGAAGAAATATTTGTACCTCATAATTTATAGTACTGCAGTCGGATATGGAATTATTCATGATTATTACCAGAAAGATTTTGAGTTACTGTTTTATTTTAACTTTTTAACTGAAATCTCTCATTTATAGAAATGTAACCAACAGAGGACTACCTTCCACACCTCATTAAAATGATTTTTTTCCCCTACCCTTCTGCCTCTAGCAGGCAGACATGTTAATAATGTTCTCCCTCCTACCAGCCCTCCCACAGGGAAAAAAAAAAAAAAAGTAGTTCTTCATAGAGTCACAGAGTGTCTTGGATTGGAAGGAACCTTTAAAGATCATTGTGCAGGGATACCCAAGGGCCTGGATGACACCCACTAGATCAGATGCTCAGGGCCCTGTCCAACCTGACCTGGAACACTTGTGGATGTGGGACATCCACGGCTTCTCTGGCCAGCTTGTTCTGGCGCCTTACTGTCCTCTAAGTAAAGAATTTCTTCCTAAGATCTATTTTAATTGTTCTTGCTGTTCTATTGTACATTTTCACATGGTCCCAGTCAGCTATGGTGTGCTGGTTTAAGAGTTAACCAGCAGGGGAAATGTACTCAACTCAAAGGAGAGATTATAAGTCAGAATAACAATTTACTAAAATAATACAGTAAGTACAATCATACAAACAAACAATTGGTCTTAACCCACAAAACCCAAATGTATAACCCAGTACCCTGGGGCATGAACGTGGTGTTCCTCGGGCCCCGCTTGAGTCCAAAGTAAAGGGAGAGGGGAAGAACTTGCTGGTGGGAGAGCTGTTGCAGTCTAGTCAAAAGTGGTGATTGCAGTGAGATGCTGGGGGAAGAGCTGTTGCAGTCTGGTCAAAGTGGTGATTGGAGTCCAGTATAGGGTGGTGATCCAAGTCTGTTTGAGAGCGATGAGCCGCAGTCCTTCTCTGGATCCCACAGAGTGGTTCGAAATGTTCCAAGACTCCAAGATTATATATCCTGCAGTTCAGGCAGAAATGCTCAGCACTTCCCTCAGGGCGGGGAGTTCCACAAAGGGTGTGAGGACAGGAGCATCCTCCTATCTCACAGACCTCTTAACACCTAGTTTATAGCCTGAGGAGTCAGGCTCTATGGGCAGAGGGTGTAAATGGTTCATTGATAACAGTTTCTGGGAAATGGCATGGAAGGCTATAGAATACACAGTTTTGGGTTACACCCATACCCTGATGAACTGGTCTCAGTTGTCCTAACTAGGACATATGGCATGGTGGATGTGTCCCTTCTGTTTATGTCCAGGTTAGCCCTTCTGATATTTTGTAAGCCATAAAGCTGCATTTCCACTGACTTGTTTTCTAACAGTACTATTTTATTCTATTGGAGTAGTCCTGTGCTTATGTTGTGAGATTGTGTCATCTGTCTCAGGATCAATCTTAAAGCCACACTACCAACACTCAGTAGCAGAGCAAATCCTACTTGGTTATTCTGCAATCTCTTTATTTTATCAAGGAGGCAACAATTACTAGGGAGTTAGAAGCTCAGTTTACAAGTTATAGGATCAGGAAATAGTATTTCCTGAAAAATTCATCATCTCTTTTGAATCCCAGTAGGATTTCAGAAATGGGAACGAAATATCTGGGGCAATCAAGTTACATTCTTGGCACCCAGTGGAGATTAGCAGATGATCCTTGAAAGAAAAGTTAACAAGTCTCATTAGTACAGAAAAAAAATATTCACAGAAAGCAGGTATATATTAATATGTTAAACATGAATATATTAATATTATTGATGTTAGGCTGAGGGTAGATTAAAGCAAAAGCTATTTGTACCTGCCTGTGAGTAGGAAAGTAACAAATTTTCAAATCTTATCTTTTGCATATGGCTGAAGGAAATCCATTTGGTTTTGGTATAATTAGGGTATAATTTACATTTCATCATTAGGCAGCTGCATACCTTCTGGAATCAAAGTCTTTCACTGATATGTAGAATAACTTTAACTGATATTTATAATAATACCAGCTTTCTTCAGCTTTCCTGAGAAATACCTATTACTTGTTTTCAGTTTTTCTGCTTGATTTCGTCTGATACATTTTATAATGTACTTGGTTATCAAAGAGGGACTACATTGGGATTTTCTCACTCCGAAGGCAACTTAAAAATCTCCAGACATATTCTCTACTGCTCTTTCAACACAACCCAGTAGATGAATTCACTGTTTCAGGAAGATAGAGTCCTAACCTGACTCTGGCTTAGTGCAGCCAGCAGTCTGACTATTAAATTAAGCATTACACTATACACAGAGGATTTGGGACTTTCCATTTTTCCACAACTCTTGGTTAGATGGTTGGCCATCAGAGTGTCACTTAGCTGCATAGTACCATTGTTTTTTGATGTTCTTTTTTTTTGATTGGAAAACCTGTAGAGGCCTCCTGCTAGAGGTAGTTATTTTTGGCTTACCATAAGGAAAGCGGAGATATTTTCTTAATTCTCTGAAGAATCAATTAATCAGAGAAGAGGCATTCCACTGGGAATAATAAGGTTTCTTAAGGAATCTCTTTGACTGAGTCTTCTGAATGTTGTCCTGATTTTCAAGACGGCAAGAAAGAGGGCCCCAGAAACTACAGGCTTGTCAATCTTATGTCAGTGCCTGGTAAAGTTATGGAGAAGATTATTCTGGGAAATACTGAAAAACACCTGAAAGACAACACAGTCATTGGTCCCAACCAGCACGGCTTCATGAGAAGAAAGTTCTGCTTATCAAACCTGATTTCCTTTCATGACAAAGTAACCCACCAAGTTGATCAAGGGAAGCCGGTTGATGTAATCTTTTTGGATTTCAGTAAAGCTTTCAATACTGTCTCTCACAGGAATCTTCTGGACAAAATGTCCAACCCACATCTGGATAAACACATCATGTGATGGGTGAGCAATTGGCTCACGGGTGGAGCACAGAGGGTAACAGCGAATGGGGTAACATCAGACTGGTGACCTGTCACTAGTGGGGTTCCACAGGGCTCCATTCAAAGGAGTTGTTTCAGTGGATCCCAAAAGTCACAAAGTTTAAAAGCTGAAGAAATCTTCTCTTCATCCCCTCCCCAGTTTGAATCATAACTGAAAGCTATAATTTTTCCAGGACAGCAAAGATGGATGGTTATCAAGGAATTGGAGATTGTGATTATAGGATTTGGATGTTACAAGAGTACGCATTTTTTACTCTTTACTCAGATAAAAGATTAAAAAGTCCTTTAAGTATCATTAAAAAAATCCCAAACACACAAAAAGGTATCTTTGAGAAAGGATACAAGCAGGAAAAAATCTATTATGAAATAATAAGTTTCTCTCTGAGCTGTTGTTAGAATTTCAAGACAAACAACTATGTTATATGCTAGCTTCATACTATATAACTTCATTAGTGTCACATGATTAAGTACATGTAATTGATTATAAAAATTCTGCTTCCTTGTTTCAACAGTTAGTGCTGTCACTGTGTACAAACAGGCTTTGAAATCTTTCTTCTTTGAGGATTCCGTCATGTTTAATCTCAGGAATAGTAACAGCTACACCTAAAAATAATAGTAATATCATAAGGGTCAAAAAATCAGCAAAACAGAGCTGCACAGTACATTAAAACAAAAACAACAAAAATAATTACAGAGACCACTGCACCATGGTTGTGAACAGGAAGACAGCACCATCTTTTAAAAATGTACTATAGGATTATGAAAATTCTTTTTTTGATGTTTCACCAAATACAGAAACAAAATAAATTCATTTTTAAAAGGTATAGAAGACATTGCCATTTGCAATGGCAATGGCAATGTCTACACTTCCATAGATAGGATTCAGCCTGAATCTGTTGGGCTTCAGGATAACCAAAAAAATGCCTCCATGTTTGGATAGATTACACAGAACTCTCACATTGTGGAAATATTTCTCACCTTCTAGACAATATGAGCGATTAGTCTGATAGAGAATACTGAACAAAGGAGATGAATGATACACTCCGGTGTGACTGTCTCTCTAATATATACATAGCTGGTATATTTTATGATACATTCCCTCTACAGCATTGCATAAGTCAAATACAACTCACTAGTAGTGAAGAATCACTAAAGGAATCAGACTTAAGTGGTCTTAAGGAAAGAAGATTTAGGGTCAGTGATTGCCACCAGTGTTAACAATTACCATTATCTCCTTGCTTGATGAAACAACTGCATTCCTTGCTCTGAAAGCTCACCCTTTAAAAATAAAACTTGAACTTCACAAAATTTATGAAACAATTATTTAATATCAACAAATTGGAATTTCCACTAATAGTCCTCAGGATGAGTTTCATATTAACATAAGATATGTTTTTAAACAGAAATACTGCTTCTTTAATTAATCACAGAGGGCATCGCTTTATTTCAGAACTCAGAAATCTCAGTCTCAAATAAAACCACAATATTCAGTCATTTTGTTCTACAGTGAAAATTTGAAAATAAATCTCACACCTATAATTATACAGAATAACCTTATTATCTGTTTATATACATTTAAAATGGCTCAAGTTAGTGACTGCTGATTTGTTCTCTGCTGAGAAACTGCTGTTTCAGTTTCATCTTGTAATCTTAAGGATCTTTTTTATACTTAACACACAATTCCCTGGATAATTCCCCTAAACATAATAGGCAAGAATCTCATCGGGGATAAAAGCAAAAAGCACAGGTTTATTGAAGCAAGAAGAGTGCTTAGTTTCCTAATCACTGACAGTAGCATGCACTGCTCTCAGATGATAAGGTAGCTGATAGGACCATCTTCCCATCTGAATCAATGAAATTTTATTCTGGTACTCTTGTACTATTCACCTTCAAATCTCTTCTGATCTCACTGAATTAGAATAAATAGTCAGCTCACATGGTAGCCACTTCTGTAACAAAACGTAGAAGATAAGAAAAATACCATAGATTTGCAAATCAAAAAGCTTATGCGGAAATAGCACTGTCTATATTTCATGATTTTTTTAAAAAACTATAGTAAGTAGTTGATTTTATAAATACGTACACTGTAACAATATCTGATGTTTAGGGGGTAAGACGATTGTTAATTTTAAAGTTATGTATTTTCATTTTCTGTAGCTCTGATATACAATAAATAACACTATCAGATGTGGGAAAAATTAAATGAAACTTTCAATTTATCTTCTGCATTTTCTTCACCTATCTTCTATTTCTCACAGTAGAATAAATTTACATTGCTGATTTTTCTTCCCTTTCTTACCTTTACCCTTACTTGGTTAGCTTGAAAGTTGGAAGCTAAAAGATAACAAAATCTAATGCAAACTATCCCCATTTTGGCTAATAATTTTTTACTTTTCCGTGAATCTTCAGCATTTTTTTACTCAGGAGTCAGCACAGAGCTGAGATAGTGTCATGATTTAACCTCAGTCAGCAACTAAGCATCACCCAGTTGCTCACTCACCACCTGCTGACCAACAACCAGCTTGTCCCCAAGCAGTAATTAGCTTCTCCAGACCAACTCCCCCCAGTTTATAAACTGAGCATAATATTCGATGGTATGGAATGTCTCTTTGGCCAGATCAGGTCAGCTGTCCTGGCCACGCTCCCCCCCAGTTCCTTGGCAGAGTATGGGAACCTGAAAAGTCTTTGATTTAGGGCAAGAACTACTCATCAACAGCCAGGACATCAGTGTGTTATCAACATTATTCTCATACTCAATACAGATCACAGCACTGTACCAGCTACTACACAGAAAATTCACTCTATCCCAGCTGAAACCAGGAGAGGTAGGTATGGCAGAACAGGAACAAAATGTGATAACAGTAAATGTCTTAGAGAAATTGTTAGTGATTTTTCAATGTAACTATTTCTGAACCCATGGAGGTTGTTCCATTCCCTACCGACTGTAGTAAAAAAAAAAATCTTAACTATTATCTTGAGATCACTGTTGTGCAGCTATTGCACTTGCTGTTGCAGTTCAAATAGTATTGTTGTCCTATTGTATAATTAATTACCATTGTTATGTGATTAACATTGTTGTGTGAAGGAAAAATATATATTGTTGCCCTTTCTCCTTATTTGTTGTTGTTTCACAGTCCTCTTTTCCCCCTGACCTGCTATTTCAATGGTAAGATTGGTCTAGAAAAAAAAGTGCAGCAGAGATTGTCCTTCTATGCCTGTTATCAGTAACTTCATTGCATGTTGTAACACACAAATCATAGAATCATAGTCATAGAATCTTAGAATCAACCAGGTTGGAAAAGATCTGAGATCAGCAAGTCCAACCCTTGATCCAACACTGCCATGGTTACTAGACCATGGCACTAAGTGCCAGATGTTACATTAATCATACAAAATTCCTGAAAGCTGAGACCAGTATCAATGCTCATCATACATTTCACTATTCCCACTGCTTAGCCACCAGGATAGAGTTATCTTCTCAGTCATCTCTCCCATCTTTCCCTTTATTCCCAGAAACAATGAAGTAGGAATAGGAAACTACCTTACCTGAGCTAACTTGGTGGTCTCTTGAGAACAATATTTTTTTTCCAGAACTGGAGAAAAATTAAACCAAAGGACTGCACCGGTCACTAAAAGGGCATTGTCTTTCTCTTCCTCAGTCCATATCAAAAAAAGCAACAAATGTTCTTGAAGAAAGGCCATCGTACAACATTGTTCAAGGTGGGATAGAAGAGAGAGAGGTTTCTGCTGTGCAGATCACAGCATAGGAATCTCAAAAGCAACACAGTGATCAAAGTAAAAGATTAAGACCGGGAAAATTAAAAAACAAGTACATGTAAGATAGAAAGACTGCAGAATAATGGAATCCTCCTTATAATACTTATACATCTGTTACTGCACTGATTTTTAGTTTATCAGAAATGAAGAAACCTCATTACATGCACAGACTCTGAAAGAAGAAAAGAAAGAACTTGTGGAGACTGCTTTCCCATACGAGAATCGTAAGGAAAAAATCTATTGAATTTGATAAGAGGAGCATCCTAATAACTATAGCACTAATATTAGATATCTTTCAAACCTCCCATGCTATCATTTCTACCTCTCTCTATTATTAGATTGTCTGTTGTTAATGAGAGATTAAGAATTAGTCATTTTATGTAAGAACTCTGAAACTTTGAAATCAAGAAAATTTTTTGTGCAAGCCTTCTAAAATTATAAGTCTCCTAAAAGTAATTTCTAGTAATATCACTGGAATGAAGTATAAATAAAGTTGAAATATCCAAACCTCTGAATAGTTAAGGCATTAATTATCAAGAAAGTTATAAGAAAAATGAGGCTGAAATTTCTGAAAGGACACTACCCACTTAACTACTATTTCCCTGTAACAGTAATTAATTATTTAGATATTTTCAGATATGCAGCATTGGATTATACTAATCAGATTCTACAGTTTTTCCTGTAGGACTGTTTATTTCTCATCATGACAGTCAAATTCAAGATCCCAAGTTGACCTCTACTTGAGCTTATTCTAGGGAATCAGATCCTTTATTTTAAAAAGTCTGGGTGCTATTAACTGAGATGACAATACTTTCATGAGCCATTTTATCTGAAAAATTCTTAGATAGATTTAAAGGTGTTCAAAATATAAAGACCCTAGCAATGCATAAAGGAGTTCAAAATATAATGCATTAAGTTCCTAGAGTTTCACTACTAATATTGTTTTTTCGATAGTTTTAAGAGTATCTTTATTCCTTACCTGTAGTTGAAGGTATGGAATTACCTTCCCATGATTCCAAGAATAGATAAAGTTGGAAGGGACCCATGAAGAGTTATCTTGTCCAATCCTCTTCATTACAGAAAAAATTTCTGTTATTGAATACCATGCTATTTGGAGACCAAGTGAATCCAATCCAATTGACTGGTTGCTACATAAAAGGAATATATTTGATTATTGTACCTAAGGTTAAATACAGAAAATAAAGTAAGGAAAAAAAAGTAAAATATGAAAATGTAATCTGAATAGAAAACTCCACTATTATATGAGCACCCTAAAAATTATAGAATTATAAAATGTCTGTTTTACTAATGAAGGTAATATAGATATTTAAATATAAATAACATTGTTCCAATACAGACTCCTGAGGGACACCACTTGTCACTGATGTCCATCGGGACACTGAGCCACTGACAACTACCCTCTGAATGTGATCATCCAACCAACTCTTCATCCAACAAAAAGTCCACCCGCAAAATCCTTTTTTCTCCAATTTTGAGAGAAGGATGTGGGGGAAGGATTGTGTTGAAGGCCTTACAGAATTCCAGATACATGAAAACTGTAGCCCTTCCCATGTCCACCTATATAGTCACTTCACTGTAGAAGTCAGACAGGACTTGCCCTTGGTGAAGACATGTTGGCTGTCTCAAATCACCTCCCTCAAATCACCTCTATTCTCCTTAGTACAGCTTCTAGGAGAATCTGTTCCTTGATCTTCCCAGGCACAGAGGTGAGTTTGACAGTTAGTTCCCATGGTTCTCCTTTCTACCCTTTTATAAATGGTATAATGTTAAGCTTTTTCCAGTTACTGGGGACTTCACCTGAATGCCATAACTTTTCAAATATAGAGTGGCTTGGCAACTACATCAAGGAGGTATGCTTTCTTTGACCTTCCTCTATTGGATTATATACCTGCAGAAGTCCTTGTCATCCTTTGCATTTCTCCCTAAGTTCAGCTCCAGCATCGCCTTAGTCTTCCCTCCTTGAGAATAGCTGGGGAACTACAGACTGGTAAGCCTTACCTCTGTCTGGGAAGATCATGGAGCTGATCCTCCTAGAAGACATGCTAAAGCACATAAAAGACAAGGATGTGATTTGAGGCAGCCAGGACAGCTTTGCTAAGTCAAATTGTTCCTGACCAATCTGATGGCCTTCTATGATGGAGTGACTACAATGGTTGTCAAGATATGACTGACCGATGTCATTTAACTAGATTTCTGTAAGGCCTTTGACACAGTTCCACATCACATCTGTATCTCCAAACTGGAGAGACGTGGATTTGAAGAGTGGGCTATCTGTTTGATAAGGAATTGGCTGGCTGTATGCAAACAGAGCTCTGGTCAATGACTCTATGTCCAGATGGAGACTGATGAAAAGTGATATCTCTCAGGGCTCTGTCTTGGGACCAGTGCTCTCGAATATCTTTATCAAGGACATAGCAAGGTCGAGTGCCCCTCTCAGCAAGTTTGCAGATGACACAGAGGTGAGAGGTGCTGGTGACACAAGAGAAGGGAGGGATGCCATCCAGAGCTCCAGAGCAACCTGGACAAGTTTGAGAAGTGAGTGCACAAGAACCACAGTGTTTGGTCTTTTGTTTTTTGGTGTTAGGTTTTTTTTTTGAGGGGGGGTTGGGGTTTTTTTTGGTGTATGTGTTTTTTTGTTGTTTGTTTGCTTGATTGTCTGTTTTTCTTTAATACCAATATACTAGTTTTAATAAATCTAAATAATAAAAAATAAACATAATGCACAAATGATGTTTTGGCTAATCATTGGCTTAAGTGACATTTTTTACATCTTTTCATTTTCATTTATTTAAATTCTAATACCAGCTGTAGTTGTAGTAATTAGATTGAATTTTGAATTGTCACTACCTCCACAGTCAATTTTCACTACCCTTACTCCCTATATCAATTCACAAGGAGCACAGAGGGTAGCATAAAAAAAGCCATAGTTTTCTTCAAAAGAAGGCAATTAACAAATCTCATTTAGTGTTAATTGCAACAGCAGTTCTCATCATAGTTTAATCAACACCTTGCTAAAACAAACTAAAAGAAAGAAAAAGACAGACATTGATTTCATTCACAGTCAGAACTGTATTGACACATTTCAAACACTGAACATCTCACATTCCCAAAGGCTGGAGTGGTTACTGTCCATACAAATTGTTCTACAAAACTCAGAGGCTCTAGCCTTAGGAAAATAAGGACATATCTGATATGTATTCTCTCAAGACACTAAGGAACATGTTGCACCGAATTCCCTCCAATGGTATATTTTTGGAACATATTCCACTGTCCTAGCTACAGATTTTGTCCTCATGTACAGATTCATTTTATCTCTCTAGGTAAAATCAGGTAATCACATATTTCTCCATGTTAATCCAGAAGGTCAATACAGTTTCTTGTGGAAGAATAATTTGCCAGAAGAGGCAAATAAAAGTCTACTGTGTCATAGTTAACACAGTATGGATCAGAATGACATGTGACAGAATAATCAAAAATTGTATTTGGTTAAAAAACCCAGTCACATGAATCCATAGATGTCACCCTAGTGTTTGCACTCAGTTTTAAATTCAACCCCACATGGCACTGCTTTTCTGCTTCTTAGAATCCTAAACTACTGCAACATGCTGTTATCTGCCCAATCTGCTCAGTTCAGCAACCCTTTATTCCATACAGAGAATCTTTTTCGTTATGTGTTGTTCCCACACTTCTTTTATTACTACATCAAGAAGAGAGAGTACCCACAACAGTAAATGTTGGCAGATTTTTTTCTAGATTAAATTAGTGGGTAACTCATTCAAGCTCATTTCACTTTCTGTGTCTATGTTTTTCTTTCCTTGTATGTTCATTATATATTGAAGGTGGGGACAACAGCTTTTAGGATAAAGAGAATTTATCTCCTCTTCCTGTCGTGGTAGCCATAGCCACACCCCAAAAACATCAGCACCACAAACAGCGCACAACACAAGGCCAACCTGCCCTCATGATCAAGCTGTGTTATAGCACCTAGACAATAGTGAAAATCTAGATAATAAAAATGTGAAAGAATTCTTTTTGTGAATCAGTAATAAATCCTTATATGTTCCTTGCAGATGTGAAATCTTTGAACAGATCTGTGTTAGAGCAGATCCATGGAGTTTACTCATATAATTCTCTGTAGAAAGTTTATGCAAAACCAAATTTCAGAGACTTAGAAAGAGTTTATGCTGATCAGCAGCATTATTTCCTGACATTGTGGGAAGCAACATGTCATGTCAGCACTTTTAAAGAAATGCTGAAGACCATCCGTGTTTATCAAACTGCATAATTAGCAATTTGTGTCCACTGGTGCATCACTGTGAAGGAAATCTCAAATTACACGGACATTCCATTGTGAAATGGGTATAAAAAGACTTCAACGACAGTATTTATGGATTCTTTTTATAGAGTTAGTCTAGAACAGGGATACAGGTAATTAAGAAAATATAAATATATGGCTGTGCTAAAGTCTTTTCTACTCATCTAATATTTCGAACTACCTTGTTCATAAATTTCAGTCAAAATAAAAGCACTACCTTGAAGAAATTTTCAAAAAAAAAATGGTCAGTATCTGAAAAATGAAACTAATATCTTTATTTTAGTACTACTCATTCAAATCATGCGTTATACTAGGCCATCCAGTAATACTAAAAACTAACAAGATGCTTATCTTGTATCCCAAATGGAAAATTATGTTAATAGATATTGTAGAGATTCAAACAGAGAAGCCAATGAAGCTTGAGACTCCTAATTGAAATTTGTAAATACCTTAGATCAATTTATATATTTTTTCTTTGAACATAACTTGTAGGAGCAGAGATAATTGCATTTTTCAAGAGCTTGAGCTCTAATGATGCTTATACCAACATAATTTTAATCTAAATCTTTTGCTGCATTTGGGATGAATTTTATTGTTGTTGTTGTTTAAACCATTAAATGTCTTCCTATGCTGTAAAGGAGATTCCACCAACAACTAACTTCCCTCTCTGTGTGACTCCTACCTTGAAAGAAAATTTGTAGCTTGTGGGTCCATTGGCCAGTTCTTCTGGTTCCTGTGATATTTTTTAGGATCCCCTTTAGGTCTTTTTCTTACTATCCCCATGCACATATTCCGAACCTGGCATTTTTTTCTATTTTTTTACCAACTGTCTGTTGGACCTCCCTAGAGGGCACCTTTGTCCTTCAGAACCTGAAGCCAAACAAAATTTGAATACTTGAAACATTCTTTAGTGGTGACCTTTTCCTTTATTTCTCTACCATCACTACCTACTGGGTTTGGGGTTTGTTTGGTTTTGTATTTTTTTTAATCTATGATCTATGTACATATGTACAACTGAAGGTAAGCGTATAACTGAACAAAAGCCATCAATTTAACAATTTTTTAAAATTTCTTCAGTTGCAGATAATTTGATAGACTTTGATGACAATTTATAGGGTTGAGTGAAAATATATTTCTAAGACATGGAATTGGAAAATTATTTATATGTTTGAAAAAATAGAA